GCGTGGGACAATGTGCATTGCCAAGGGGTCGGATGTACGCCCTGGCGTCCCTTGGTCTCCGCGTCTTTTGCGTGGCAGGCGTGGGACAATGTGCACTGCCAAGGGGTCGGATGTACGCCCTGGCGTCCCTTGGGTCTCCGCCTCTTTTGCGTGGCAGGCGTGGCACAATCTGCACTGCCAAGGGGTCGGATGTACGCCCTGGCGTCCCTTGGGTCTCCGCCTCTTTTGCGTGGCAGGCGTGGCACAATGTGCACTGCGGCGTGGCTTTTGCGTGGCAGGCGTGGGACACTGTGCTCATACTCATTCACACTGACTCACTCATTCACTTTTTTCACTTTCACTCATTTTGAATCACTGACTCATTCGCTGAAATCACTCCTGCACTCACTCACTCACTCCACTCCACTCCACTCCACTCCACTCCACTCCACTCCACTCCACTCCACTCCACTCCACTCCACTCCACTCCACTCCACTCCACTCCACTCCACTCCACTCCACTCACTCACTCACTCACTCACTCACTCACTCCACTCCACTCACTCACTCACTCACCCGCTCACCCACTCACACACACACACTCACACACTCACACACTCAATCACTCACTCACTCACTCCCTCACTCCCTCCCTCCGTCACTCACTCACTCACTCACTCACTTCACTTCACTTCACTTCACTTCACTTCATTTCATTTCACTTCACTCACACACTCACTCACTCACATACATCATCATCATCATCATCATCACCATCATCATCATCATCATCATCATCATCATCATCATCATGTGCCAGCGATGTTTACCAGCCACAGGGCATGCAGAAAGAGTTCACAAAATGCGCGGCTGCGCTCGAAAGAGTGCAGAACATTACTTTGGTCAGCGGAAGTATGGTGAGCACACCATCGTTTTGATAGTGTGTCGGAAAAAAAAACATCAGAGCCTGGTGGAACTCGATGAAAGCGAAGCAACTTACTCACAAACAACTTACCCTACGTACATACATACATAGATACCTAAATACATACATACCTACCTACCTACCTACCTATCTACCTACCTACCTACCTACATACATACCACCATCGTCCCTCCATCACTTTCATACTTCCTCTTCCCTTCTCGCTTTCTGTGCTCCGTCTAAGTCTGAAGAAGTTGCTAACATGTGGGGTTATCCGGTCCTATAATTGTTTGATCGGTTTTTGCCGGCCAGTTTGTGTGAGGACGAGACGCTGACGGGTTTGTGCTCTTCCGCCCTCAGCTCAGAGCTTGTGGTGGCAACAATCGGGAGATTTTCTCGATTTACCCGTCCAACAGAGTGATAGAATGCGATATACACCAAGAATCACCAAGATAACTTGCTAGATTGTTTTTTTTTACACATTTCTTTTCAACCCTACCTGATGATGCTGATTTCGATTGTTTCATATTTGCTGGGTGGGCTTGAACCACCACCCCAGATATCCGGATTTGGATGGCTTTGGTAGTATCATGTAGTGGAGCTGCTATCAGGCAGTGGAAACTGCATCACGTAAAGGTCCGTTGGAGAACCTCTCCCCATGCATGGAATTTTCACCATACCATACTAGGAGATCCAACAGTATCGGGAAAATTGTGAAATGTATGGAAATGTGACAGCCACACAGAGCCTGACACTGTGGACAACAAGACGCCACCTCAGACGTCCAAACCGTTCTAAAGCTGCTTGGTGCTTGCAGCAGGCCTAGTGGTATTTTGCGAATCTTCACGCACATCCCATCCTCCAGTGACAAGATTCCCAGCTCTCAAACAAACCTTGCAGCACTGCAAACCACCCAGGTGTGTGGCAAGGCTGCAGCCAATGAGGATGAGCCGGAGGTGGAGGAGGTGCAAAGTTCCTCCTTTCAACCAACATGGCATCCAAGTGTATTTCCCCGCAATTAGCCAATGAGCTGCAGTACAGCGTGCGCATTTTGCACGCCTCCCCACATTTATGATATGGAATTCGTCGATCGTCCAGCTTCCTGCTGCTTCTGAAGATTGAAGTGATGCGGAGACTTGTTGTCATGTCATGGAACTCTTTTGGCCGCTAGGGACTCCTAAAGCGTGCTCCGCCTTCATGTGAGTGGCTTAATCTGGGTTGTTGCCACAGGATGAAGACATGGAGGACGACGAAGATGAAGATGATGATCCTGATGGCTCAGGCCTTAGGATGCTATGCTTTGCTGCCGGGGTTCTATGGCTTTGGCAGGCATTCTTGCACCTTCCAAAATTACAGTGGATGAAGGCGTTGACTACAAAATATGGATATGTATGGCCCTGTATGGCCACAGTTTGTGCACGGGTCAAGATTCGGTGATTACCCCCAACAAAGTGATAAAATTCGGATGGTCTCTCAAATGGCTCGATATTTGTAGAATGCAGGGCTTCGAATTTTTGTCCGGTATTCATGCATCAAGTTGTCCCATGCTTGCGCCATTCCGCTGCACACTCCCGGCCATCGCCGGCCCCAAGGAACGAAAAAGGCTGTCTTTGACAAAGCCATCGCTGCCATGAAGGCTAGGGGCTGCAATTTCATGTTCACCAAGGGACCCCAGAGCCATGCCATGGCATCCTAATATGTACAAAGTATTATTTCAGGATATTTCAGGTATATTGTCAGGGGTAAATTTTGTTTACGCAAAAGCTAGGCAGTTTAATCATGTTTAATGTGCGTTTTTCTGGCCACAAATGGGGAATTTTGCAGGGTAGCTGAAATTAGCCAGGATATTCAGATGCATCTTCCCCAAGCTATGCGCGCTTGCGTGTCAGGAAAGGAACCAGGCGGCTGCACAGGCTGGTGATGAAGACTCTTGGCTCATGATTTGGTGGTCACATTCTGCCCGCTGGAGACCTGCCGTTGCGGCTGCCAGTCGCCCAGTGTTGCTGGACTTTCCTTCGACTAGATGGGCTAGATTCCTGTCTAATTCATACCCCTCTCTCGCTCGCTCGCACAATTGGTGAGACTCTCATTGAGTTGACACCTGTTAGTCTTCGGGATCTTTGGTGTTCACTGAGACAGTCGGGCAGACGTCGTTTTCGCTGCAAACACCTCAAAGAGGATCTGTAGGAGATGCTGGTTCCAGACCAGCTGATGGCTCAGGATGATGAGGACGATGTCACGACTCTGGACCACTCCGGGGCTGATTGCTCAGCTTGGGTGCACTGCACATGTGGGAGATTGTAGGAGGCCCAACAAAAATATTACTGCTGAACGATTACTGCTGAACGAGCTTTTCTCTAAATTCCAGCCGTTCAGCTTTTTTCAAACCAAGATTGTTTTATTATATTGCCATACTCTACTTGAAGATGCGTTGCGCATGTTTTTGATTAATATGATTCTCCTTCGCCCCCCGGCAAGAGTGAAGGCTGCTGTGAAGGGTCTGGGATGGTGGGGGTATGAGACCCTGGGGGGGATGGCAATTTTATGGCAACTGTTTAGTTCCCAGGTAGTCAGGACTAGAGGCCCAATGGATGAGGCGTTGTGATCCGAAGTCATTGACCAGACTTGGGCATCCAATCCTTGGTGGTTCGAATCCACCCTGGTCCGTTTTCCATGCCGTACTGTCCTTCAAACTAATCATAGGAATTATTGGCCTTCATCATCACCTTCAGGAATTGTAGGGTGAGCCTTGCCGGGCACTTCCTCTCGGCATGTGACCAAACAAATCCTGATACGTGGGCTGGTGGTGGCACACCTGATAAATTTTAACATAATTAAGCCCATTATCATTGTTCAAAGGTCACAGCCCCAGAACTTCCACTTTTTCCTGGCATTTCTTTGGCATTAACCACTTCATTTTCATGAGTTTCCCATTTTGGAATCACACCAAGCGCCTCCCCAGGTTTTGTCAGAGCTTCTGGATGATGGTGGAGGTGCGTTGATGAACTCCTTTGCTGCCTCCAGTCAGGACACTAAGAAATATCCGGCCGTGGGATTTTCAGGACGGCCGTGTGAAGGGGCAAGAGGGGCTCTGTGCATGTCACGGGCTGCATGTGGATCATGTGGTACACGGCACTTATTTGTGTGGTATCTTTGCGTTTGCACAGGTGACATTGGAGAACTATATATCCACTATATATATTTTTTTATATAATGCAATCGAATATGGACATGAACACAAGACACAAGCACGCAGATACTTACTTATAAATTATATCATCTCATCATATATCTACAACTAGTAATAATTTACAATATCATACAGTAGTGGAATCTCCCTCTCTCTCTCTCTCTGTGCGTGCTAATCGCTCCATCCCTTTCCCACTTGGGTTGCTGTCGCTTGAGGCCTCGAAGGCGCCACCAATGAACCCAGCAAAAAGAAGAAACTCACAAAGAGGCAGCTGGAAGCGCGCTGATGTCAGGGCAGCGTGGTTTTGGAAAGTGGATGAAAGTGGATGAAAGTGGATGAAAGTGGATGAAAGTGGATGTTTTATGAATGTCAGCTTTGACAACTGGCAACCAGATTTTCATTGTAAATCACGCAGCCAACATATCCTAACTATTGAATTGAACGCACATGTTGCTGCAACATTCACGGTAATCCTTCCTTGACTGGTGAGCTCAAAGTGCAACATGGGATGGAACCTGCCCCAAATGTCAATAATTTCAAGGAAATCCATATGTATAATTATATTGCCTATATAGCTCATGTTATATCATATTATATATACACGTATATTTACTATAATAACATACTTTATCTATACAGTACCTGTTCTGAAACCGTGGGACTCGCATGATCCCACATATTTGTCAATGGCATGCTCTTCGTCATTCTGATGTTTTTTTTGGCAATCTTCGGCCAAGTGATGTCGCTTCCATTCGCCTCAAGCGTAAACTTACTTAGTGACTTAGTCCATTCATGCAATGATTATGTAGCTAATTACATCAGAATGCATGCCATTTACTGCCCAAAAGTTGAATGGAGGTGAGCACCAAAAAAGTCGCTGGGTGCTTCAAATGCTGTCAGGCAGCAAAAGCTGCGCTTGCAACAGGACGAGTTGGTTCGTAGATTGCGTGAGGCGCGTTGGGTCTGCGTTGAGTGCAAAAGCTTCGTCTATTCTTTTCTGGATGTGTTTGAATGCTGCATACCGCAATACCCGGTTTTTTAAAAGAATGTCCCATCATCTAACTTGTTTGGTCTTGTTTGACAATCTGTGAAAAAGTCGATTGTTAAGTGGTGCCCCTGAAGTCTTGCTGTGCTCAATAGCGAAAACAATTCATACAGGCATAGAAACCAGGTCCCATTTGATATTTATTTTCTACCCGTGAAAGATTATTCATTATTCATTATTCATATCATTTCGGCCTGATGGTGGATAAGACCACAACATACTATAACATGCATTGGCTTGTTCTTTCAATATGTTCAATGGACGCCTTAGAGAAAGCCTCGGTTTTTGTATCATTTTGTATCCGGATGTGATGAAATAGGGTGGGTTTTCCTATGTTTTCCTGGAATGTTCGATACCGTTCCCTCCCTCCCTCCGTCAGACAGCCCAGGCCGACCTGGTGGAGTCCTTTTTGATGCGCTGCGGTGCCAAGCGTGACGCCAGCTTGGCCATGGTGGAAGAACTGCAGATGGCAGCTGGGTTGCGCCATGGGGATGTGGCTATGGTGCAGTGGACCTGGGGACGTGCCTGGAATTGTATGGATAATATGTATGTAAATGCTCTGTGGTTGATGTGTCAATACCTGAGACCTCAAAAATCTATAAAAAACTAAGATCTGGTTGATGAGCATGAATTTTCACCCCAAAAGAGACCGGTCGATTCAGTTTGGGGATGTGAACAGCACGGGAAGAGGATTTGGATCAGATGACAGAGGCATTCAGATTTTGGGGCTGATTGTGGACTTGGTTTGGGGGGCAGTACATCACTGGCCATTTTTTTTAAAATGTTTCTAAGCTACAGACGTGGCATTTGTTTGAGCTTGATTTGAGTGTGTCAATTCTATTCAATGAGACTCGTAGGACTTGGGCCCTATTCAGTTGGTGGAGCGACGGACATCCACACCCCAGCAAGAATGATCAAGAAAATCATCGAATTCGTCAGATGATTCTGTTTTGTATTATCATTTTTCGTTTGTTTAACGGCCATCACTTGGCAGAGCACGCATTTGGTAAGCATCACAGGTGGTACAGCAACTGTCTTGGGAGTCTGTGCATTTGAGGCCCTGGTCAATCTGAATCACAAGGCCCGCTGGCAGCTTGCAGTGATGTGCGCCGCCTCCGCTTGAAGATTCTGTTGACCTCCTGTGGGATGCGGGTTGTTGGGCAGTGGTACCTTGCAGTTCACGTGACCTCGCTGGCAGGTGAAGCTCAACAAGGAAGAGGTGGGAGCAGAGGAACTCATATAATTCCCAATGATGAACATGATGTAGCATGATAGGGTATCACTGATATTATGACAGGATAGGTTTGTGGGTGGTCCCTTGTGGCCCTTGTGACTGGTGTTCCCAGTCTCTGTCAGTTTTTCAATCATTGATCAATGATTCTGCTTCTATGTGCACAACATGCACAAACCCACTGCATGAGACGCAGAGAATTTTGGGCATCTTGAGTATCTTGAGTAGATCCCATCCAAGTATACCCATAAAGTGACCATTTGATAGGGAAAATTATGGTTAACCAATGGATTTAGAGGTACCTTATTTTCACCCAGGCCCACGGCCCACCGCAGGCCGGTGACGAGAAGGAAGGTTGCGAGCTCAGCAGCTGAGCAGCTGAGGTGACGAAAGGTTGATGGACCATGGGAAAAACGCATACAAGAAAAATGCAAGGAACCCTCAGATTTCTGGAAGTCAGATGCCAAATTTCCTGACGTTTTTGTTGAGCAATGACGATGTCACAGGTTCAGCATGGTTCAGCAACTGCATGAGCAGGCAACTTTCCGGTGAGATCTCCTGCTTCCCAGGTGAAGGAGAGAAAAAGAAGGGTGCCAAGAAGGCCACGAAGGCCACCCAGCCACCAGGGATGGCGGCATCGTATGGGAATCCCAATAGACCCATGAATGGCTGGTCAAACTTAGGGGTATGACAATCCAAGAGGGCAGAAATAGACTTTAATTTTTGACTTTTAACCAAATCTATTCATCACCCATTGCCTGGGGGATCATCGATGACATCCAATTGAATGATGATCTTGTTTATATGCCACACCAAGGGAAGCACACAAAGGGAAGCACACCAACTGCTTTCCTTGGAGAAGATTGTGTGATGGGCCACTGTTGAGGGGATTTGTAGCCACCTTTGATGCATCAATTGTCATCACAGTGATTACCAAAAAGTGGCACTTGCACAGTCGCTGCTTGCCTGCAGGGTGATACCACACTTCGAAGTTTGGAGGACGCCTGTGTCCCTGGAATCTCTGGCAGTTGTGGTGTGCGATTGCACTGAATTGTCGTTCAGAGATCCAACAAGTAACATGTTGGATGAGTGAGGATGCAGTAGGATGCGCGTGCCCTATGAAGCAACCTGACAGGGTACCTGCTCAGTGTGCCCACATGTGCCCATTATTTTTTGAATTGTATTTGCCCATCCTGTACTGTAAAAGTATTAGTGACCCATAACGATGCAGTACTGAATCCAGGCATCAATCAGCAGGAGACCCTTTCGCAGCGGGTCCACAAGATGCTGTCCCGCTTGATGCGGAGCAGCAGTGGGTTGACCTGGAAGGATCAGTGGGTTGAGCTGTGGCCGTGATGGATGGTGTCAAAGGAACACTATATTACAATAAGATACAATAAGCCAATCTCCCTAACCCTAACCTTAAACATCCTCGAAATGGTCCCATAATGTCTCAAACATGTTGAAATTCACCACTAAACCATGGTTTCTGGAGAGTGTTTAATATTAGGGGGAGGGATTTTAATGGAGGATCATGCGCACTTTGATGTTTGTGACTTCCATCTAAAAGCTGGATGAGAGTTAAGTCCACTTTCAGAGCAATTCTTTCAGAGCAATTCTTTCAGAGCAATTCTCTCCACTTGACCCCGCGCGGATCACAAACACTTTGTTTTGGGTGAAGTTGCTTCGATAGAGCCAAAACCCTTTCCATGCCAAATATGATTTGCAGATGTGTCATTGGTTGCAATTGTCATGTTTCAAGATACCCAATTCAAAATGTCATGCTCACAACAATCCGGCGACTTCCCAGTGCCCATTGAAATACAATTGAATAGGGTTTGAACCCTGATGACAGCAGGAAGTTTTTTTTCCAAACATTTGCAAGATCCAAGAGCCCAAGAGCTCTACAAGCGCCCCAAGGCCGCGCATCCAGCGTGCAGATTCTGGCAGGTGCCCTACTAGGCTATAGCAGACGTGTATTAATGAGGGTAATGCCCGCACCCCATCACCAGCATACCAAAGAAGCACTCAGAAACCCATTGCACCCCAGGGATCTTCAGGATATACCAATAGCATCCAATAGCCAATAGTCAGATGAGGCCATTGCCAGTTTGATTTGAGACCAGGAAATACCCACCATGCTGCCCTGTCAGGGCGTGCTTCTCCAGAGGACTGGGCCGCCAAGGCCAGCTGCAGGAGCTGCAAGTTGGGCCACCTGACCCCTCAGCAGATCGGTTTGGACAGGCCCGCGCCCTGTGTGAAAGAGGGCAATCGGCCAAAGTCAACGGGTCACGAGCTCAGATTGAGAAAACCTGGGAGGCTCGAAAGTGGGACAAGTCCAGCTGACACTTTGGCTCTCCAGTTGTTTTTGGATGTTGGATTCTGAGACAGACCTCCCGCAATGCCTGGAACGAGCACATACAATCTAAGCCCCACCCAAGACCACAGCTCCCCGCTTGGTGAAACCAGGAGTGGCTCGCAGGTGCTGGAAGTTTGTGGCTTAGCAATTGCTGCCAGACAAGACTGTATGGAACCAGTCGATCCCTTGCCAGATGGAAAAACCTCGTCTCAAAACTTAGTTCCATCGCCAGACTCACTGTCTGGGTCGGCCAATGGTGAGGGTAGTTGGAGGAAAGCGGTCGCGCAAAGGTTTCGGCTTCCTACCTCTACTTCCTTTGTGCCGCTCACCGGGCAGCAGTGGAGCTGCAGGACCGACCGTTGCGGATGATATGATTGTAATTTACAATTAATTATAATTGGTTATATAGTAAATGAACATATATGGAGTTAAATGGATACGATATGAATAAATGGCGATAAACTTTGATGAGAGCGAATTTCAGCTGTTGCATGGCCGTGATTAATTGTTCTCATACATGTACACATTCCATTTTTCTTGTCTAGATCCCCCAAGCTGCTCTGGCAGGATGGATCGGAGCACACAACTGGCCAAGGCACCGACCATGGGAGGTGATGTGGCCGTGATGCTGGTTGTTGCTATACCCGACCTTGTGCATGATGAAGGGCTCATGGAAGATTTGCGGACCTCAAGAAACCATCAACCAGCATATGCTATATGAGATTATATGAGCTTATATACGTTTTCTTTGTCTTGTGTGTGTGTGTGTGTCACTCAGTCAGCCAATCCCGGCTCTGCACCAGAGGAAATGGTGGACTGCACCGGTGTGAGAATGTCTTCCGTGTGTTCATGCAGGCTGGCAGTTGGCTGAAGAATTGCTTCCCCTGCTGCTGAAGGAATGGTCTGGCAAGAAGGACCGACCAACCGTTCCATTCCCAAACTTCATCATAGCGCAAACCTTTGAGGATGACCACGCGTGGCATATCTTTGTCAAATTGGCTACAGTAGTTCTTGAGTTTCATCACATTCCTTTTTGCGTTGCTTCTCAGCAGATTCACTTGGTGCACTGTTGCAGAAACGGGAGGGGTTCATGTAGCAAAGACACGCTGTCGCCTGTGATATAGTTTTTGCCTATCAGGAGTGCGACAATTGGTGCCAAGCCGCTCTGAAAGCGTTCTCAGCATGGTGCTGAGTTCCATTCCAGTTCAGCAAGATTTGTGAACGTAGTCGCAGTCATTTCAAGGCATTCTAAATGTGGGGCAGCATTGCCCCAACAGTTTTCGCAGGTTGACATCCTTGTGCCGAGGTGCGTGTACCGCAGGTACTGCTTAAGCTGCCTTGGTCGCTCCGGCTTTTTTTTTTTGTGGCGGCTCTTAGAAAAGAATGGCGAACGGTTGCACACACCCGCACATACCTGCACATACACGCACGCAAGCACCCACACCAGTAGGCACAAGGCGGTGGCGGAAGTAGTTGAATTTCCACATCAAAAGTGGACATTCATCATGGCTTTCTCCACCATGTGCATATCATATGTCAGCTGGTGACCCTTAAGACCAGCGCGTCACTTCGCCAGAGGCAATCTTTAAGTGATTGTGCTCAGTGGAGTGGGTGGGTACAATCTTCTTTAGAAGGGAGTTTGTTCCAAAATCTACTGAAGTTGCAAAGGTAGGACACTATAGGAGAGGTGAATTGTTGTGATGCATGGATGGCAGAGCGAATCCACTGATGGACCGAAAGGTGGTTGGAGTTGTGTTTTTTTGAGTGGTTGCGATGGTTGCAGTATGTTGCAGTGGTCACCTCACCCACAACTGCTGGATGTAGTGTGGTGTAGTGCAGCTGTAGTTGTAGTTGTAGTGTAGTGGAGTTATAGTTGTAGTGTAGTGTAACGTATAGTGTAGTTGCAGTTGTAGTTGTGATGTGGTGTAATGAGTGTAGTGTAACGTAATGTAGTGTAGTGTAGTGTGCTGTAGTGTAGTGTGTTGTAGTGTAGCCTAGTGTAGTGTAGTCTAGTGTAGTGTAGTGTACTGTAATTAGTGTAGTGTAGTGTAATTAGCGTAGTTGCAGTTGTAGTTGTCTATCTATCTACCTATCTATCTATCTATCTATCTATGTATCTATGTATCTATGTATCTATGTATCTATGTATCTATCTATCCATCTATCTATCTATCTATCTATGTATCTATCTATCTATCTATCTATGTATCTATCTATCTATCTATCTATGTATCTATCTATCTATCTATCTATGTATCTATCTATCTATCTATCTATCTATCTATCTATCTATGTATCTGTGTATCTGTGTATCTATCATATGTATCTATCTATCTGTGTATGTATGTATCTATCTGTCTATCTATCTATCTATCTGTCTATCTATCTATCTATCTCTCTCTCTCTATCTGTTTGTCTGTCTGCCTGTCTGCCTGTCTGTCTATCTGCAAGTTTGAAAACGAAGCTTTTCTGCGAGACTTCCTCAATTTTTGAACTTGACAACATCAGAAGCGCAGCGATCCTGCGAGACCCAACGTCAAAAACGAAGCAATTCCGCGAGACTTCCTTCAAAAATGGAAAGATGAGTGCAGAGCCGACGGCCTCGTACCAATGCGTTTTGCGATTTCTCCACTCCATCTGTCTAAAATGCCGCGCCTGTCTCGCAAAATCATCTTAGCAAACCTGAAGATCTGATGCTCCAAAATTCAACCTCTCTCAGGAAATCAGCGCCCTGACCTCCTGACATCTCTGGTGAACATGTCTCTTGTACTGCGCACTGCGCCTGCCAAGCGAAGTGCATCTTTGCAGATCCTCTTCAAATGTCCCACGCCTACCATCGCTTTTGGAAATGCTACAAAACCGTCACATTTTGCTCACTTTTGACCAGGTGCACAATCCCCTGCGCCTGCCGCGCGAAACGACATCTGAGCGTCCAAAAGTGGTCCGAGACTGTCAGTTTTTAACGCTTTTGACTTCGAAGAAATGTGCTTCGCGCAACAACTGAGTGCACTTCTTCAACATCTCAACTTCCAAAAGTGCTCCAAACCTGGTGTGTTTTGCACATTGTAACTTCGAAACTCGACATGTGCTTCGCCCCACAACGGCGTGCACTTTTTCAACATCTCAACTTCCAAAAGTGTTCTGGCGTTGAAATGTTTTACGTTTTGACTTCGACATGCGCTTCGCGCCACAGCGGCGTGCACCTTTTCGACGGCTCAATTCCTAAAAGTGCTCCGAAGCTGAGGTGTTTTCTGCGTTTTGACTTGGAAATGCGCTTCGCGCCACAACGACGTGCAATTTTTCATGTCTCATCCGGCCAGATGGCTCCGCACCCGCCGCTTTAGCGAGCCTACTTTTCGACCCTCCGAGACCCAAATCATTGGAAAAACATAATGTTTCGCGACTTGCCTACCTTTTCACACACCTGCATCTTCTTTCTTCTGACTCTTTCTCTTCTTTGATCTTCTTTGATCTTCTTTCTTCCTCTCTTCCCTTTCTGACTCTTCCCACCTCTGCTTTTCATCTGTCCATTTTGTCGGAAGTTTGATTTCTAAACTTCCTTCATACATACCATGTGCCGTAACCTTGCGCCAATTTCTCATTTGACGCCATTACCAATGACGCCATTGAACCATTTCTCATTCACCGAAAGCTGGAGCAGCCAGGGCCAAGTCCATCCAAGGTGCATCCAAGGCTCTCATAGCAAAGCTTGGGGTCGGATTCGCAGGAGGAAAACGTGCCCAGGATTTTTTAGGGTGGGTTTGGATAACTGAACGAATTAACCCAGAGAGGCTACGATTATCAATGGTCATAAATTTGGCCAATAGTCCAAGAAGAAACTTACCAGATCCATACAGATTTGGAGATCTTCCTGCACTGTCTCAGGCATTCGCGCAGCGGAGCCAGCTAGTCTTCCTCTACACCCATGTCTTAAGGTCTGGGCACAGCTGGGTCACTTGGTTTGTGCCACCTGTTGACATGTTCTGATTCTTGTATGAAAATGTCGGTTCACCCACTATGCCTATGCGTTGCTCTCTGTTTGCAGGCCACTTCCTCCAGAGACGACCAACAAGGCCCACCCCTTCGCTGTTTTTCACAGCGCTGTCGGGCATGAGAACACAGAGATGGCATAGAGATGGCATTGTTTTTAATTAACAAATTTTCAATTTGACAAGACAGTTTGAGGACACTTATATATCAGACTTGGTTGCACCAAATTGGTTCCATGCCCGCCCGCTGTATTTCATCCAGGAAACCGCCCCATTTGATTCCGCTGTGCAAGGCCATTGTCCCTTGAGGTGTTTGGCGCTTCAGGAGCCTCATCTTTGCATGGCAAAATCGGAAACGTCCGAATTTTCGATGATCACCGACGCTGCTGCACTCCGACCCACTCACACCATGGATGCGGCAACACAAGATCCCTTCGAGATTATGAGGCACCGGGTGTGGTTGCAGTCTTGCAAGATTTGCAAAGCATGCCGGCTGGGCTCTGTGTATGCCAGGATTTTCCGGGGTGGTGTGGTGTACAGTAATTATGTAACTTCCTAAGGTCAAACCAAGTTTAAGGATGTTTAAGGGTCTAGCATGATATTTAAGGCTTTCATTCTGGTTGAAGATACTGTACTGTCTGCGGAGTCCAAGAAAAAGATGATGCAAGACCAGAGATGCGGATGAACTCAGAATGTCAGGGAGGCACTTACAGGGAATGATATGTGAATCTGATTCATCCCATGTCAGCGTTCTCAATCAACATTTCTGGGTGCCAAGTGGCCAGTCAATTTCACCCGTGAATTCTGGTCGTTTCAATTCCCCCATCGGCTTCAGGATGGGAGAAGAAATGGAGAAGCAATACCTCTCTGATGCCACCGGGAGACTTGTGAATCCTGATTTGTGGGGTCCAAGCATTCAAGCGGAGATTGGAAAGCTGGCAGAAGGGGCAGGCCCAGAGATCCAGATGAGGTTGGCGGACCTGAACTGCACCGTGCCATAGACTCGCGCAGGGCAGGGTGGGTTTACTAAGTTGAATACGTCACGTCATTCTTTTATGCTATTTGTGCGGCTGTAGATGACAAGAGTTGATCAACTCTGGAGCAAACCAGCCAGTCGAACAATGACTGCTTGTGGTTGTCTCTGTTAACGCGCTCAAGACATTTTAAAAAGGGGCCACAGAACTAGGTTTCTTTTTGATTCTCTATGTTTCTTTGGCATTTGGGATCATGGTGCCTATATTCCATCAGACATGTGTTCCAAGTTTCGTTGACACTTTGCTTCGAAATCCTGATTGCCTCTTCTCAGAGGTACTCGTACTGATTCCTGATAATATATGCGTTGACCGTTGAACGTTTTTTTTTCCAGGGGACATGTGCATCAATATCATCTCATCGCATCCTACCCCTTCCGTTCCATTTGACAAGAAGAGCCTTTTCGAGGCAAGTTCCAAGAAGTCACATGCAGAAGCATTCTGGTGCTACGCTCAAAGATCACCACTATGGCACGCACTGTTTTGGAGATACTTCAGCCCTTGGATGCAGACCAGGCACAGGTGCAGGAGGAATGCCAAAACCAGTTGAAGGATGGAGAGGGTTGGCCGCAGCATTGCAGCCGCATTTTGTTAAGAAAGCAAAATACAAATCAAAATACAAGCATCCCACTGATCTATATACTGATCTCAGACACCAAGAAAACTTCATCAGCTGGCCGTGACAAGTTCATTGTGCATGCATTATGCTTGCATTTTTTTTGCTGAAATGCATCTGCAGCGAGATGCAAACTGAGACGATGATCTGAACACAAAGGTTCTCTTTTTGTGCGTCGTGTTAAGTTATGTTGCGGTTTTGTACTTGTTTGGCGCATGCATGTCGTAATTGGTATACGATGGTGCGTAAACTAGTAAATGGTGTGCATTTTCTGTATGATGGGTCTGTTCATTCGCTTGCAGGACCTTTTGAACCTGATTTGGGAAGAGTACCAAAAGCAAGAGCAGGAGTACAACACGCGCTTGAAGAAGCATGCCCAAGAGATTGTGAAACTCTCTGATGGATCCCGAAAGCAAATCTGGCAAATGGCATTGGGTGGTCAAGGAGCTGTGGCTGCAGTTTTTGTCACTGCTGTGATTGGTCGGCTGGGGTGGTTGGGTACTTACCGCCCTCAAGATCTTGCTTGGACCAACTTTGTCAACAACTGGTACAAGCCAGACTATCGGGACAACAATGGGAACTTGCACTACAAGAAGATGACCGTGGCGGAGGGTGGTGTTTTCTTTCAAGCAAAATGGGTTCTGAGCTTGTTGTGTGGCACACCATTCTTGAGCATCTTCGCGGTCGGATTATCTTCTCTTTGGACCTTTTTCAGCCATCGCCGGAAGAAAGAATTCGAGATTCTAGCCAAGGGAGAGAACCTTGTGAAAAGCGACTTGGAGAAGCACAAGATCATGTGGCAAGGTGTTCGCATGTGCACCTACAAGGTTGAAGATTGTCTCAGAGTGCTGCATCAGTTGAGTGCAGGGAGGAGGATGCACCGGGAGACCGCCATGAAAGAGATAATCCAATCCTTGTGGTCCATGAGGATGGCAATGGATGAGATGACTGTTTGGATGCAGGGCCGTGGGTGTTTCCCTCCAAACTTCAGCATCAAGAACATGATTGGAGCCGCTCGATACGATGTGATCTGCGGCATCCTCAATGATGCGAAGGCCACCCAACAAGCACTTCCAGATGGCCTGCAGCAGAGAATCCAAGGCTGAGCTGCGGCCAGCAACTGGCCAAGCATGGAGTTACAGTCATTTTCGGTTTCCTGCTTGGCTTGGCTGCATGTTCCCAGGCGTTCCAAGGCTTTGGCTAGTTTGACATGAGTTACAGGTTGACGCTCTACTTTGAAGTTTGGGCCTTTCTGACAGTTTTGCGGGCAAACACCTCAGTTTGCACGAGGCATTCTCCAAACAATGTATATATTATTGTAGACATATGTAAATACATTGTAAATACATGTAAGTACTGGGTCCTTCCGGCATTCCTAAAAAGCCCAGGTGGGGAACTTGTGCGTCATGGTGCGAAGTCATCCTGAACCTAACACCCAACAACCATAAGACCTTTAGCCCTAAACCCCGACCTAAAACCTTTGGAACGATCAAGTTCAAAACTGAAACCTGAAACCGAGACACCTAAAACCCCAATCGAACCCTAATTAAACCTTTGAAACCTAAAAGTGATGTTGGGCAAAATGAGGTGTTTGGGCGTAATTTTATTCTGTGTGTGTGTGGCGACGCTGGTAGCCGAACCACCAGCAGCACATCTTTGCCCATATTCAAACAGCATAGCGTAGGAAAGCAGGTGGTATGCCTCCCAGGAGTCCCTGGGAGGCGTCGTTGAGTTAAGATGCCATACTGCAGAAAATCAAGAGAAGGAAAAGTGGTGCTTGCACTTGCTTGCAACTTCAAGTGTTTGGCGAGGGAGTTACAGATGAACAGAGAAAGGAAACCGATGAAATGAAATGTGGAAAGTGGCAATGTGAGAGTTGTGTCGCACTGAGTCGCACTTCGTCCCACTTCTCGCATTTGTGACCGATGCTCGGTACACTCGGAACCCTGAAGCCCTGAGTCTCCAGAGAGAATGCCAGGCGGATGTGGCTACACAGATGGCATTTGCAGATAGCCACTCGGATGTGATATCGCCATGATTCGCCATGTCCTGCGATGTTGAGGTCTTCCGTAGGCATCAAAAGACTGCAAGCTCATTGCGAACAAGCGATCAGGCATTGTTGAACCAGCAACAAAAAAACAAAAGTGGGTCAAATCAAAGAAAGATTTGGAATATGTAGCAGGACATAGCTGTCCATTCATCCTCACAAGAAATCACAAAATTGGTAAATTCAAAATTAAACGGCGGCATGTTATAGAATCTAGAATCTAGAAACTACAACACATTAAACGGTTCAACTATATATATAATTATATATATATACACGTAATTTTTAATAATTGTTTCTTTGCTTGGAACTTGTGGAGAGCAAGTAATGTGTTGACGATATAGTTGCCAAAATGGCTATGCCATTTTGGCTCAAGCTGTTCCCCCTGCGATCCAATACTTTCGAAAAACACGTTCCGATCCTTTTCTTTGGCCATGGCGGCTTCTAGTCCAGTGGCTAGTGAGACTGGCACCGTGGGCTCTTTCTCGCTGATTGGGACAGATTTGGACGCAGGGGACGATTACATGGTGCTTTCCACCCAGGTGACCGAGGCTGCGCCGGCCGAGGTTATTACAGAGATTGAAGATGATCCCGCCATCACCAGGGAGACTCTGGCTTCGCAGCTCCATGAGATGGAGAAAGTGATGGCAAACTTGGGCTTGGAACCCAAGCCGGAGACAAGTGTGGAAGCGTCAAGTGGGCAACCTCCGTCGGGTTTCGTCCATGCAGAGGCACAGATTCCGACCCAGACATCACGGGTCTTAGAGAAGGAGACGTTGACACTCCACATGGATCCGACCACAGAGACCTTCACCATCGAAGGCTGGGCACCTTTGATTCCAGCCCTGCCTCACTCGGCTGCCAAGTACTTCAGAGACATTACGCATGGTGAGTTGCGTTCCCTTTTGGATGCTTTCCGCAGTTCTCCGTGGACGGCATCCTTGGTGGTCAAGATCGCAGAGGTGTACCACATTTCGAAGCGCGAGGCTGTCCACACACAGATGTTGAAACTCCGGCACACCACGCAGCGTGGGGGATCCATGATGAATTTGAAAGAGAAGGACCCTGGAACTTCTCCGCAATTAGTTTGTTCTGATTGCAATGCACCGTGGGGACAGTTATCCAAATGTTTGCTTTGTCAAGGCTCTCAGCCTGTTGACCTGTCAATGACACCTTTGTCAGTGATTGAGGTGGCCGGCCAGTCCTGGCAACTTAGGCTCACTGAGGCGGGACCGACTTGGGTTCCCACAGATACTAAGGTTACTAAGGCCTCAGGCTTTGTGGAAGTGGGAGATCTTGGCCGACCTCCCCCTGCGGCAGCTTCGGGCGCCGGTACGGGGCTGGTCAGCTTTTCGGAGCAAGTTCCTGCCTCCCAGCGCATGACACTGCAGCAGCACGTGGTGGCCTTCGGGCAGGACGAGATCTTTCATCCAGATGGCGAACGCCCCCCCACTATGGATGATCGAGACTCTACTCAAACTGCTGTGATCTTTCATCCGAAGACCATTGAACTGATGCGCTTCAAGGTGGACTTGCTGGCCACACCAGAAGAAGAGCTTACGGAAGCGGCACAGGAGGCCAAGAGGAGGAAGAAGGAGATTCAACACCAGCAAGAGACTGTGGCGATGGAAGATGAGCTGCATACACTGACTGCCATCCAGCAGGGTGCACAGGAAACCCAGAATCCGGTCAGTGCCAAGATGCTCCGCCACGCTGACCTCCAGCAGTTTCGGTCCTACCTCAAAAGAAAACATGAAGAAAGTGGTCTCACCTCCTCTTACGAGGCTTTGGTGGCGGCACAGACCACACAGGAGAAAGCGGCGGCCGCCAACAAGGCCCTGGACACAGAGTTCAGAGACCGACGCAAGGCCCTCAAGCCCATTGAAGTGGCGTCCTTTTCACTGTGGACCCCGGCCCTGCAAGAGGCATGGCAGAACAACCTCTTCGCGCCGGCCATGGGACCTCAGGGCCCTGAACAATTTGACATGGAGGCACTGAAGCAGCCCTACCTCCGAATGAAAGAGCTCATCAAGGATAACAAGCCTCCGCTGTCCCAAGACCGCCTCATGACGGAGTTCCCCAAAACGCAACTCGACATGTACACCACGGGGACGGAGATGATATCTTCCCAAGAGGCCCAGTTAGCACGACTCCTCCCGCCGGACAGCCTGGAACGCAAGTACGCAATCCTTGACTCCATCTTGCAGTACCACAAAGGTGAAGTCAGAGCCTGGGGCGGAGAGTGGGAACTGCGACAGGGCCCGCTCATGGCACCTGCCTGGGCGAAACCGGCACCTACGGCTGAGGTCTTGGCTTTGGAACTCAGGACAAACCCGCTGGGCACCTCCTTCTACACGCCCAAAACCTACACAGAACAGGTGGTCCTGCAACAGATTGCCGAGGGCAAGCGACCAGACCTGGACAAGATCATTGGCTTCTTCTGGGCCCCGGGGACGGCGGTAGCTTCTGGCACCGACGATACCCACCTGGTTCGGAGGGTGCAATCATGGGACCTTCCCTCCATGATCACGATGCTTGGACAGTCCTGGACGTTCAAGGAGATCTACCAGGCTTGGTGTGGCATGCCGCTGATCGTCAAACCGATGCGCAGAGGGCATGGGGAAGGCATCCGCCAGAAGAAGGTGGCAGAGTTGGCGGCACACCGGCAGAGGACCTCAGAGATCAAGTCCTTCCTCACCAGTGTGGGCCTCCGGTTTCCCCAATCACAACATGAAATCAAGCTGCTCTACAAGGAAATTGGCAGCTTTTTGGCTGCCTCGGTTTTCTTAGCCAGAACCCCAGCGGTGGTCTTGGACTTGCCCGAGCAGGACATCCAGGACACAAAGGAGCAGCTCCGTTTTCGAGCGGTTTGTGATGAGCGCATCACCTTGCCCTTGGATGCTTTCAGGCAGCTCCCGGACGTTTTCCAGGCGCTGTCAGCCACTCTGGGGGCCCACAGCATGGTGCAAGTGCAAGTTGCCTGGCGGTGCAACTGTGAGCTATGGTGGGTTGCCCTGGTTCCCCATGAGAAGGCGGAGAGCTTTTATTGCCGTCTGGGCTACTCCCAGGCAGAGATTGATGGCTTCCTGAAGACTGCGCTGGAACCGGAGGCTCTGCAGGCGACTACGGTAGCTTCGGGCACCGGTAAGTACCCAGAGCTCTCCTTGGAGAACGTGGTGTCCATATGCAGCCCCAAGTACAAGCGGGAGCACTACGGCCACCGGGGAGTCCATGCTTTTTGGGGCCGCACTGATTGCGGGCTCATCCTCAGCAGCATCAGTCCATGGGAACTGAAGACGAAGGAGGCTGGAGTGATTCGTGGAGGATGGGTCTGCAAGGCCTGCCAGGGCTTTTGGAGACAAGGGAAAGGAGCTTCCCGCTTTGTCCAATTGCTTGGAGAGCACCGGGGAGTCAAAGTCAACCTCCAACTGATCTTGGACGAGCCACCCCAACAGCTGTACAACAGCTGGGTGAAGTCCAGGCTTGAGTATTACAAGAGAGTGGAGCCGACTGCGGCCCCGCGAGATGTGGCATTGCAAGTGGACCCTGACCACACCCAACGCTTGAAGTTTTCTTGCCAGAATGGCAATGCCAATGTTTCCAACGCCATTTGGTCGGTCCTTCTGAGCAACCCTGACCTCGAGGGCCTTCAGAAGATCAACGCGCTGGCAGCGAGCAGAGTCCGGCCTGCCTGAGAGCGGAGTTTTTGCGAAGGGCTGTTTTACTGACCTGGTGGCCTGGTAGCGTCTTGCACCAACGTCACCACTCGGTTCTGCAGACACCTTCCTTTTTGTATGAATAGCATTGGTTGCGCACCACGACAAGGGCCAAGACAGGGGCCAGACCGCTGGGATGCCAGCTCACACAGTGAAAAGGGAAACCTGCATGTGGCTGCCTCAGAATCATTTACAGCATGTGGCTATTTGAACATTGCTGCGTTTTACCATGTTTTACCTTGGTTTGATGTTATTGGTATCCTTTCGGGCTTCGCCCATTACGCTGATGTGACAGATGTCCATGTGACTTGCACTCAGTCTGTCCGGTTGCAACTCTGATGGTTTTTCCTGGGCTTTCGGTGTTGTTCTTCCTGCTTGCCTTTTTCACGTGTTAGTGCTCCGCACACCCGCAGTACCCTTTTTGGGCCAGGCTTGGCCATAGTAGAGTCGGGACATCATGGAACCCGATCTTGTGCGTAGAACACCTTTTGGCCTGGCAATGGTTCGGCTCCCTGAACACATGCGAGACAGCCTGCTGGACCATGGCATTTTCCCCACACAAACGGAGGGGGAGTTGTTCATGCAGCTCTGCATGCAACAAGTGCCACCGGACCACCCGGAGGCCATGGATGGGGGAACCTGGACCTCTCGGGTACACCCCAGCAATGACATCGACCCAATGAACGTGGCTCACAGTAACTCCATGATGGTGGCTACCACGCCCTGGATGGAAGACTTTGTGGCAGACTGCATGAACCGGGTGCCACAACCAGCGCCCCCAGAAGAGAGAGATAGGACCTATGATGCATGTTTTAGCCTCTTCACTTTGATTGCGGGCGCACCAGATTCAGCCTTCCACACACCCCTTCACCAGCAACAGGAAAGCATGGACCGGGCTAGATGGCGAGCCTTTCATGCACGGCCTCCCATAATGGCCATTGTGGAGGCCAAATGGAGGCACTGGAAGCCTGGGCGACTCAAGGAAGAGTCGGCTACAACCCAAAGGAAGTTAGAACTCCACCTCAGAGACCGCTGGGCAGAAAGGATCATTGGGCTCCTTCTGCCATTTGCCAAAGACATCCCTTACCTGCATGCGGTCCACGGGGACAATGTTCACCAGGAGTACTTGGACCTCCTTGGAGACACCAGGTTCAGGACCTTGCGTATTCATTGCCTTTGCTTCGAGAGCATCCAGAAATTGGGCTTCAACACAATTCCTTGGAAAGAAAGTGATATTAGATCTCTTCTG